CTCCTCCTCCTCCTCCTCCTCCTCCTCCTCCTCCTCGTCCTCCTCCTGGCGGAGGGCCCGGAATCGTTCCCGTCCCCATGTCGCGGGCCCCGCCGCCTGAGCACGCACTGGCCTTCTCTCGTACGGGAGGGGTTGGTTGGTAATGCCTCCGACTGCGCACAGGCAGGCCCCCGCTACGTATTCCCAGCTGGCCTGAACAGGCCGCTGGGTCCGCCAAGGCCGCGGGCGGCGAGGACCAGGAGGAGAGATGATGGCGAGGAGGACAAAGAGGAACAGGAGGACGAGGATGGGGACGAGGACGAGGAGGGAAGGGGGGAGTATGGGGAGGAGGACCCCCGCGCCCCAGGGTTGAGGTGTCGAGGCCGCCCTGGGCTACTCGGGAGGCCTCCTGAGGCCAGGTGGGACTATTCGGGGGGCCTGTTGAGGCCAGCTGGGGCTACCTGGGGGAGCTCATTATGCACAACCCGAAGACTTGCCAAGTGGGGGCGCCCTTCCCTTCTCAGCACCAAGAGAGGGCCCTGGAAATCTCGACCCTTTCCGGGGACCGGCTTTTTATTCCGAGTCGTTTTTTGAAGATCCCGAGGCCCGTTGAGGCCTCTACAAACCGAAAACGGCAAAAAGCCCCCGTCTTGATTTTTGTTGGATCTCTGGCGCTCAATTTTCTGCTTCACAGTCGTGGGGCGCCTCGTTTTCCTTTTCTCTGTTCGTCATTCCTGAAAGGTTGCCAATCGCGCGCCCTTCTGCCCACGCGTCCTTCCGGATTCTTGGCTCTGTTGTGGTGGTGGATCTAGGGGTTGTTTCTGGCTACGCGCAGAAGTTACCCTTGGCAAGACTGACCCTCGGTGCGCGACCTCCAGGGGCCACCGGGAGGCCCCACCCGAGCGCGCAAGACGCTGCTATCGCATCGCGCTCGCTCAGCCATCTGGGGGCCCCAGTGTGCCCGCACCAAAGGTCGCTCCGGCGAAGGGCCACTCTTCTTTGTTTACCGACCGCTAGCGGGCAGCCGCGCGGCGTCCGTGAGTCAAGCGACAGCCAGGCCTACGCAGCCGAGGGCAAGAACCTAAATTACAGCTGGCAGAGCGGGAAAGAGGGGAGGCCGAAACGAAGGGCGACGAAGGAGGAGGAGCAGAAAGGCCACTCTTACGCGTAACCCATTCTTTCTCGGCGCCCAACGGGGGCCCTGCCATGCCCGGCCGCGGCCGCCGCAGGCGCCCCTCCAGCAGCGCTCCCTGCGCCGGCGCGCCGCCCAGGCCAGAAGGGCGGATCCAGCGCGCGGGCGCCACGAGGGGGCCCGGTGTGGCCGCAGCGAGGCGGCACCGCGGCGGGCTGCGGCGGTGCGGCGGCCAGCGGGCGGGCGGCCGCCTAGGAGGCCGCCCGCGGCAATGGCCGCGCGTGCGTGCAAGGAGGTCGCCGGGGAGGGGGGGGTGAGACGTGCCGGAGCCAGGCCGGCTGGAGCCCCAGACGGCCGCGGCGGGCGGCGGGCTCTGCTTCTGCTTCTGCTTCTTGGCAGACGGCGGCAGCTGCAATCATCATCATCATCACCATCATCATCACCATCATCATCATCATTATCATCATCATCACCATCATCATCACCATCATCATCACCATCATCATCATCATCATCATCATCATCATCATCATCATCATCATCATCATCATCATCATCATCATCATCATCATCATCATCATCATCATCATCATCATCATCATCATCGTTATCATCATGATCATGACCATCATCATGATCATCATGATCATGATCATGATCATGATCATCATTATCATCACTTTCATCATCATCATCAAACACATCAGTCATCATCTTCACCACCATCATCAGCAGCGTCATCATCATCGTCACCATCATGACCAGGATCGTCATCATCATCATGATCATGACCATGATCATCATCATGTTCAGCATGATCACCACCATCATCCTCCTCATCACCACCTTCATCATCATCATCATCATCAACATGTCATGTCCACCATCATCACGATCACCACCACCATCATCATTATCATCACCACCACCATCAACATTATCACCACCATGAGCAGCAATACCAACATACATCAGCATCAACACTATCATCATCAGATCATCATCATCATATTAATAATCATCATCATCATCATCATCATCATCATCATCATCATCATCATCATTATAGTCATCACCATCGTCATCGTCACATTCACCAGTATCATCACCATCATCATCACTATTATCAGATACGTCATAATCGTCGTCGTCGTCAGCATCATCACCATCAGAATCAGCATTCTGATCATCATCATGATCATCATCGTAATGATGATCGTCACCATAATCATAATCATGATCATCATCATAAGTTCCCTCGCCATCATCAACACCATCATCATCATCATCATCATCGTCGTCGTCGTCGTCATCATCCTCATCCTCATCCTCATCATCATCACCATCAGCAGCATTAGCATCATCATCACCATCACCATCACAATTACCATGATCATCATTATCATCATCATCATCATCAACACCATCGCCAGTATCATCATCACCACCTTCGCCATCACCACCAACCAACAACGTCATCATCACCTTCATCATCATCATCATCATCATCATCATCATCATCATCATCATCACCATCACCAGCACCACCACCACCACCACCACCACCATCATCATCATCATCATCATCATCATCATCATCATCATCATCATCATCATCATCATCATCATCATCATCATCATCATCATCATCATCATCATCATCATCATCATCATCATCATCATCATTTTTAGCTTAAGATTTTGGCTTCGGCTCAAGACTTTGGCTTCTTCCGCTGCGGCGCTGTGAGACCGCGGGCAGCTGGTGCCTGCACTGGCTGGCGGGCTCTTCGCGGTCCTCCACCCTGCCCCTCCTCCCTCCCTTCTCCTTGTCCTACCCTCTCCCCTTCCTCGTCGTCACCTCCTCCTCCTCCTCCTCCTCCGCCTACTCCTGCTCATCCTCCTCCTCCTCCTCCTCCTGCTCCTCCTCCCCCTCCTCCTCCTCCTCCTCCTCCTCTTCCTCTTCTCCTCCTCCTCCTCTTCCTCCTTCCTCCTCCTCCTCCTCCTCCCTCTCGTCTTCTTCTGCCCCTCCCTCCTCCCCTTCCTCCCTCAGTCTTCCGCCTCCGCCTCAGCCTCCGGCTCATCCTTCTCAATTCCCTACCTCCCTCCCTCCAGTTAGCTCCCCTTTTCCTCCATCCGCCTCCCTTCCTTCCTCTGTCTCTCGCTCTCTTTCTCTCTCCCCCTTCCCTCCTCTTCTCGCCCTCTCTCGCTCCCTCTCCCCCTTCCCCCCTTTAAAGATGAAGGGGGATTGGGAAGGGATGCAGTAAGAGGAGAACGAAATTACCCTGTGACGTACTCAACCCATTTGTATCAATGGAAACGAGGAGTTGGCCGAAACTTGTATGGACAATCAACTTGATGTGTAAGCTACTTGGGAGGCGTCACTGTGCTGGGCCCCGCAAGCAGGCCTCGAACATGGCGACAGTTTCACAGATCGCAGCCCCCCAGGGATGGCGAGGTCTAATTTGAATCTGCGTGTGGCGGCACTGTGCTGGGCCTCCCAGCAGGCCTCGAAAGTGGCGACAGTTTCACAGATCGCAGCCCCCCAGGGATGGCGAGGTCTAATTTGAATCTGCGTGTGGGTACCCACTTTGCTGGGCCCCGCAAGCAGGCCTCGAAAGTGGCGACAGTTTCACAGATCGCAGCCCCCCAGGGATGGCGAGGTCTAATTTGAATCTGCGGTGGGTACCCACTGTGCTGGGTGGGCCCCCCAAGCAGGCCTCGAAAGTGGCGACAGTTTCACAGATCGCAGCCCCCCAGGGATGGCGAGGTCTAATTTGAATCTGCGTGTGGGTCACTGTGCTGGGCCCCCCAGCAGGCCTCGAAAGTGGCGACAGTTTCACAGATCGCAGCCCCCCAGGGATGGCGAGGTCTAATTTGAGTCCGCGGTGGGTACCCACTGTGCTGGGCCCCCCAGCAGGCCTCGAAAGTGGCGACAGTTTCACAGATCGCAGCCCCCCAGGGATGGCGAGGTCTAATTTGAATCTGCGGTGGGTACCCACTGTGCTGGGCCCCCCAGCAGGCCTCGAAAGTGGCGACAGTTTCACAGATCGCAGCCCCCCAGGGATGGCGAGGTCTAATTTGAATCTGCCGGTGGGTCACTGTGCTGGGCCCCCCAGCAGGCCTCGAAAGTGGCGACAGTTTCACAGATCGCAGCCCCCCAGGGATGGCGAGGTCTAATTTAAATCTGCGGTGGGTACCCACTGTGTTGGGCCCCTCAGCAGGCCTCGAAAGTGGCGACAGTTTCACAGATCGCAGCCCCCCAGGGATGGCGAGGTCTAATTTGAATCTGCGGTGGCGTCACTGTGCTGGGCCCCCCAGCAGGCCTCGAAAGTGGCGACAGTTTCACAGATCGCAGCCCCCCAGGGATGGCGAGGTCAAATTTGGTCCGCCGTGGTGTACCCACTGTGCTGGGCCCCCCAGCAGGCCTCGAAAGTGGCGACAGTTTCACAGATCGCAGCCCCCCAGGGATGGCGAGGTCTAATTTGAATCTGCCCGTGGGTCACTGTGCTGGGCCCCCCAGCAGGCCTCGAAAGTGGCGACAGTTTCACAGATCGCAGCCCCCCAGGGATGGCGAGGTCCCAATTTGAATCCGCCGTGGGTACCCACTGTGCTGGGCCCC